CTGAAAGAAGGGACGCTGAAATTAATGTAAGCCCATGACTAATAACAGGCTGCCTGCACATGACCAACACAAAGACATTTGAAAATTTGCCACCTAACTTGGAATGCCTATCGCAAACAATACTCGGAGTTTTTTGTAGATGACGTCAGTTGGTAGCCTCCTTAAACGAATTTCACTAAATATTTTGCATGGCAACCTTGAGAGAGTCCTTACTATGACTGTCTTACTGCGCAGGCCTATGTCCCCAACCCAAAGGCATAGGCCCAGTTAAGTGCAGACAGTGTTGGCCGACCTATTGTGCTGTCAGGCAATGCCATCACAAGATAGTTCATACTTCAGCCCCGCCCTTGGCCGTCAAAGGAGAGACACACGAGTGCCTGCCATATACCTGGCGTGCTCTGACTGTTATCCGAAACTTGTAAAAACTTTTCGGCGTTATTTTCTAAGCACACATCGTTTATTTGCGCTTTTTGGCAAGAAATGTTTCGCAGAGGTTTAAAGGCATGTTTATTAAGACGCAAAGCTTGATGAAATCGATATTAGCTGGCCATAAGCAAGATTATGCTTTTATGGGCAGATATGATGCAGATCTCTCCTTACCGAAACTTTTCAGCACTCATAAAATATATTCGGTGGTATCGCTGACGCAGACGCGACAAAAAACTTATACCCTTGTCTCGTACCTGTTCATGGCATGCAGTGCTTACAGAGTTTACTGACATAACTTACAGAGCTCGTTTACAGTACAAGCAGAGCCTACAGGGCCCATCTACCTTAAAAAGGGTGTGTTTCACATTTGTACGGGGTTTTGAACTGAAGTAGTCAACTTGAAGATCAGTCGGTGCAGTTCACATCCCTGTCCTTCTTAAGACCTAACTTTCTAGTTTCTGAGTTACACGCCCGGGAAGATGCGCAGACTATTTCGGGAAAACTATTTCAACGTCACCCAGACATCCACGGCGCTATAAAAGCGTCGTCCAAATCCTGTCATTCCATTAGCCCCGCGGCGATACCAGCCAAGAAAAATATCATTGTCGAATCGTCCATATATGGCGTACTTGAGCATGATTCCCAGATGCTGCAGTTGCCCATTGGCTTTCAATCAATGTTGTGCAAAGTATGATGATGTAACCAAACAATGAATATTGCAGAACATATGAACTACTCCGTGAAATAATGTTGTCTAAAGCAGCTTTTCCACTTAAAAGCATACCAATACTTACCAGTGAGCTTATTTACCATATCTGAGGCTTTATCCATTACCTTAAAATGTGGAGCATTCCCCTTAACATGATCTACGATGAATGGTCCTTCAATGCAAAATGTGGAACATTCCCCTTAACATGATCTACCATGAATGGTCCTTCAGTGCCAAGTTCCTCAAACCACACCTTGTTTCACACAGTACTGATGTAGCCACCAAGTGTGCAGGCAGCATCAAACGCACTTGACTGAGTTACATTGACGATTGTCAGGCCTAGTATTTTCCTATGAAGGTATTGGCTGCATAAATTTTTGCAAATGGTCTTGTGCGATATGACGAATCAAAGTATGACGCATGCTCCTCAATGCGTCATAGGTTGGATTACGTCATCGTACCTTGCGCAACATGGATTGAGAGTCAATTGACGGCCATTATACCTGGAAATGGCGCTCACGAACGCCAGATATGAGCACTTCGACGATGATTTATTATTGACCTTGATTACCGCATGAATATGGACAGGCAGGATTTCAATGACGTTATTATGACGTCATGAATGCGGATGTGACTGAAATACTCACCCCAACATGCCTTTACCCATTTTTTGAGCGTGTAGTTCAGGAACTAGAGAGGCTTAGGTCTTAAGAAGGGCAGGATTGTGGACAGCACCGAAAGGTCTGCGAACACTCACCTTAACCCATCGCAAAAACGGCTTTTATCAGGAAATGATGCAAGGACACACCATCGTTCCTCCGCATACCGCGATTTGCGATGAGACGGAGGGTAAGCAAAAATTCGGCCCAGATATAAACTTGGCAGACATCTAAATAGAGATCATGCCATAACAGAATACATCAGAATGTTTGTAATCGCGAGCGCAGCCTAAAATAAGGCTGGCAGCCACCTGCGCCACTCAAAAGGAGGTCGGGTTCCCCGGAGCCCACACTGTAAAATCGGCATGGTAGTTCAGAAGCCCATTGGGGCATGCCATGAAACGCGTCGTGCCACCAACAGTGCCTCCTGTCCACCTGATTTTAAGAGGCTGGTGTCCGCGCACAGCAGCATCTGCCGTCGATGGGGCTGTCGTGCTTTGCAAGGCTGAAATCCGCGGCACCACGCCCTAAAGCCGCGCAGGGCACGTGTGGATGTTCTGTCGGGTGAGGCCGGGGCGGCACAGAGGCTCAGGCGCTCCGCGCGGGGGCACGAGGTCGGTGTCTGAGCACTTCCCACGCGCGGCTGAGCATGATCAGTTCCAGGCACGAGAGCCACACGGTAAGTGCTGCATTGGAGTGCCCCGTAGCCTCGGCTTGATTGGGGACTAATCTTTCCACCATCGACAGCGTGTGACGCCTGCTGTATAGCAACCATTTTGTTGAAAGCGGTCCGGGCCACAAACTGGTGCTGCGTATGGGTGTACCGGCTCATCAGCTGATCGCCCGAGCCGCCGGGATGTGTGGAGTGCAGGTCACAGACTGGTGCTGCGTATGGGTGCACTGGCGCAGCAGCTGATCGCCCGAGTCGCCGGGATGTGTACAGTACGGGCTGTGCTGACATAGTGTTGGCGGGACAAGCCTGGTCTCGCAGACGCTGGGCAGCCGGGACGGCAGGGGACGTCGTCCAGAGCAGCAGCAGCAGCAGCAGCAGCTGGAGCAGCAGCTGCGTGGCGCTTGCGGCGCACCAGAGCAACATCACCTTGTTTGCGCGGGCCAGACAGACGAATACCGGCTATGTATTCCATCTAACGGCCTGGGTTTGTAGATACCGGGTGCTTCAGGATGAACGCCTTTTACTTTGTTCGAAACTGATACAGTATTGATTCATTCTAAGTGGATGCCACATGCGTATCATACGTATGGGAGGTACTTGGACATTTTCTAATCGATTCTTTGTGTCGCCAACACATGCTTTTACCACGAGTTTCGAAGCTCGAATTTGAGTAGACGCCATATTTTCATAGCGCTAGGTGGACAGCAGACGCCACATTCTACCCATGCCTATACGAGTTAAGTGTCAAATGAACATGCTCGTGAGCCACCCGAACACCAGTGGCAAGAACTTAAGGAAATTCAAGGGTTATCTCACTCAAACTCTGCACTCCGGTTCAATTGTGAAATCCCACTTGATCGGTACACAGTATTCAGGTTACCCAGACATGCGCAACGAAATAACTTCATGTCTACTAAGGATCAAGAGGCCTGGACTTCCGTGCAATTCAAAGCAGTTCTAAATTGTTCTGTCGTAAGAGGCACATCAGTTCCCTTTCTGTAGGGGAGGTTTAATCTCCCTTCCGTCTTTTACTGCGGCCGTACCTACAGTGTTCGAAGGATATCCGTGACATTAAGTGGTTGTTTCTACCTTTTGTTTTGTATTTTTCTTCAAACTTCCAATTCACTCTTGACCAGAGGTGGATCTAGGACAGATTTTTAGCAAGCAATTATAGTCATTTTTCACATTTAGCATCAACATGAACTAACGTACAATTAATCAAATGAACTCCCTTGTGCGGGGATTTGCATCATAATGACTCGTACGATTTATATGGACGCTATACGTGACATAATGTAATTATATAAATAACAGAGGTAGTTTAAGCGTAAGGGAGTTGTGGGGGACGGGTTATGACTATGTAAACGCTAAGATATTTCATGGTTCTCAATCGAATGCAGATTTGGTGTACATATCGATTGCTGAAGCTTCTTCTCGGTAAAGCTGGATTTTATATTGGGACAGAGGTAGGCAAGACAATGGCGGTGCTTTCTGGATACGGCTATGTTTATTTTACTTGTGACATGTCACATGAAGCACAATCGGTGGGGCGCCTAGGGCAATTTTTGATTGGCAGTGGCATCTTCAGGAGTCAGTCAGGGTAAGGACACGACCACATTGGTCTGGTCTTTTGGTCAATAGGGCTCACTGGTTACTAAGTCAAAAGGGCGCCTCCATCACTTTACTGCCCAGAAATCCACTTTCACGCGTTCAAGAAGAACATGGCCCAATGCCTCCGGACAAATTTCATCATTTCCAGTCCCCCAAGTTTGTGTCCAACCCCTAAACGCGTCACTGCATGCATGTAAAAGTTGCAATCGTTTCGGGTCTAAGCTCTGAAAAGAAGAAACCGGAAGAACAACAACTGTAAAAAGGATAAATAATCCATATGTTTAGGCACACCTTGCTGGAGCACCTAGGAAAGCAATTCAATTTGCTGGGACGAAATCTATGACACATAGTCTCGCACCACTATCTGAATGATACCAGAATGACACCAGAATGACACCACCATCATCGAATGACACCAGAATATAACACCTCAGTCTAACGAAGTTCGCGCAGCGAAGACAATAAAAAGGTGTTCTTCACTACATTTTTGTTTCGTGTATCCGCCTATGTCACCAATTTCGAAATTTGTTGCTTACAGTAATGTTGTTCTCGTACAAAAATCAATTGTATGCGCGTTTTCCGGGAGCAAATTAGTCAATCGGTTCTCGACATACCAAGTGGAGAATGATGAATCTCAGCCCAAATCGATTCGTTTAGTTTTCATTGGTACGAAAAAGGGGCTAGGACGAAATCAGGATTGACATTTTGGCCGGCTGAAAATAGCTTCAGACACTGTTTTTTTTTGTCCTTATCGGCTAAAACCGTCATAAACTAGGAGAAACTCAGAAACATATCATATCTCCCTGTTTATTCACTACATCACCAAAATGTAGCCGCAATGTTTCCTACCCGGCTAAACCATAAAAAACACCGAGGTGATGCAACAACAGCATGATCAAAATACGTGATGTATCTCCTG